AGATCCAGCCGCGCAGTATCTGGGCACACTTTCGGAAGTATTCCATCGGCTGTGCACCCAAGTTGGTATAGCGAACTGGAGATCGCACGTATTCGTCCGGCACGGCGGCTGGGTGTATGCTGGCTTGCGCAGGCTGTTGCAGCTCCTGCGTATTCACGTGCATTCCGAGGTGGTATCAGGTCTGTCATACAGGCGCATGGCGAGCCTGGATGTATTTGTGGCAACACACACGGGATCCATGGGTATGGAGCCGCCATCTATGGCTCTGTGGAATGCCTCCCAGGACGTCAAGGATGGTATCACCGTTTTCCCGAAGCAGGACCATTGGTGGCACATGCCAGTATGGCGTTCTTTCGGGCAGTCCGAGTATGGGAATGTCATGGATTACCGGGTGGATCTGGGTATGCCGGCGCATGTCCAGGGTATCCTGGCGGTATTGGCGCCCCGCGGACGCACGGGCGATGTATCCGCGAGGAGGCGTATCGGCACCATGCTGGGACACTTGGCCCCGGATGTATTGGTGCCAGGAGCGCAGCTTGCAGTATTGCGCCCGATGCGCGCCATTAGAGACAGGCGTATGCCAGAAGATGATGAGCACAAAGACTCGTCTCTTTAGTATGTCTCCAGAGCACGTATGTGTCCAGAGCCGCCGCGCCTTGTCCTGCTCCTCCTCCTCCTCTTCCTCCTCCTCCTCCGGCGGGGGGCGTGAGGATCCGGCATCGCTGACATGGGGCAGCCATCGGGACCACCATCGGAACGACCATCGGGACAACCATGGGGACAACCATCGGGACAACGATCGGGACAACCACAACCGTCAGGACAACCATCGGGGCAACCATCGGGACAACCATCGGGACAAGGATCGGGACAACCATCGGGACAACCATCGGGGGAACCATCGGGACAACAATCGGGACAATCATCGGGACAATCATCGCGACAATCATCGGGGCAACCACAACCATCAGGACCTCCCACCAGAGAGAGGTAGCCACGTGTATTTCGTAGACGAATGAGCCAGTTTTGCACATTGAGGCCGGAACGACAACCACAGAACAAGAATGAGCATACAACAACAACGGAAACAAGTCCTGTGGTATGCTGGCGCCACGCACGTGGTACCACTCAAAATAATCTTTGCTTGTGTGGTACAGAAACGGAAAAACGTCGGAAAACGGTACAGGTGTCCAGTGTTGGAACAGGGGGATAAGTCGTATACTAAGCTAGCTTCCACAAAATGTTACCACAACAAGTCATTGTACCCATGCGCCAGTGTAGTAGCCAAGGTCGTCCGCAGGCCACGAAGTGAAGTGTCCGAACGTCATAGGGCGGGAAGCTGGGTGTGGGTGGTGGCGAAGAGTCGTCCTAAACTTGGTAGAGCTTGAACCGGCCCCCCCACAAAGTGGGGGTATTGCCCGCCTCCTATGAAAACCCTGGCACTGGTGAGAACGGAGTGTCCCCAGTCTTAAATGATTGTTGTTGTTGTTGTTGTTGTTGTTGTTGGTGTTGTTGTTGTAGTTGTGGTTGTTGTTGTTGTTGTTGTTGTTGTTGTTGTTGCTGACGATGATGAGGAGGATGAGGAGGAGGAGGAGCAGGAGGCGGGAGATGATGGCGAACATAATGGTCTGAGGCTTCTTGGATGCCTCTCGGCGCCTGCCAAGATATCTCTTGAGCGCTTGTATGCTCCTTGAATCGTCTTGGTAACGTCGTGGCGGTTCCGAGCAACTCTTGGGGCGTCTTGGATGCATCTTGGAATCTTATTGGGGTATTTTTTGGGGGCCTCTCGTCGGGCCCACGGCCTTCGTTGAGCGTCGTGGGCGCCTCTGAGATCCTCTTGAGGCCTCCTAAGGGGCTCTTGGGAGCCTCTTGGAGGCGTTATGGGCGCCTCTTGGGGCCGTCTGGGCGTCTCTTGGGGCCCTCTTGGGGCGCTCTTGGGGCCATCTTGGAGGAGATCGATCAAAGGAGGCGGGTTCCTTAATAGGGTCCCCCCTCAGGAGCCCAGCAAGTCGCCTCTTGGACCCCTCTTGGAGCGCTCTTGGGGCGCTCTTAGGCGCTCTTGGGGCCGTCTTGGGGCTCTCTTGGGCCTCTGTTGGGGCTCTCTGGGGCCATCATGAAGCCATCTTGAGGCCTCGGAAGGCTATCGGAAGCGAACGGGCGAGACAGCAAAACACATTGATTGTCCTTAGGTTTGGCCTCTTCGGGGCCTCCTTTGGGAGCTCTTTGGCCACTTGGAGCCGTCTTGGGGCTGTTTTGGGGCCTCTTGGAGCATCTTGGAAGCCATCTTGAGGCATCTTGGGCTATCTTGAGCCATCTTGAAGGTCATCTTGAGCTCTCTGAGGCCCTCTTGGAGCCGTCTTGGGCGAACAGGTACCCTCTGACACCTCGCGACCGCCCCCGTCCAGGTCCAGGGGAGGGGGCAGGGGGAGGGGTAAACCCCTCCCCGAAGGGGACGAAGGGGAGAGGAGCCTCCCTAGACCACCTGCGCCCAGAGGGCTGGTGGGATTCCTCAGCCCATGGCGCAATGTACGGCGGAACCGATGGCGCAATGGCGCGCCCAAAAAGGAACGGACCAGTTGGTGGACTGCAGGGGGCTCGGCTCAACCCATGGCGCACTGGTGCACCCAAGAAGCAACGGACGATCTGGTGGATTACGTGGTGCCTGGCGCAGCCTGTGGCGCAATGTATGATCTTTGTCACAACCTAGTGGGAACTGTGGTGCAATGGTGCACCGGTGTCAGTTGCAATGGCACAGTGGGGCCAGACATGATCTTGATTGCGCTGCGTGGTGTCTGGCGTAATCTATGGCGCAACAGATCGAACGTACGTTCACCAGGGAAACCTTGATTTGGTTGCGTTGCGGGGCGTCTGCCGTGACCAGACTTTTTTATAAGGTCGACTCACAAGGGGATGCCGCGATGTGGTTTTGCGATGGGGTTTCTGCCGCAGCCTCTGGCGCAACCCATGGAAGATATATTCATTTTGGGACATCGCGATTTGTTGCCCTAGACTTGATCGCGCGTCGGGGTGTCTGTCGCAACTTGTGGCGCGGCCTAACCTGTGGCAACTGTCGCTCATGACCTCGTGGCGTGGTGACCTTTCGGGACGTCGTGGGCATGGGCCGCCCGCGGTCAGAAACGTTGGCGCGCACTTTGGCCCGGCCGACCTCCGCGGCTGCGGCGACGGCTCTCTCCTCTTCCTCCCGTCCTCCCTCTTCTCCGTCGGAGTGGAGTCGATGATCCTCAGGCCGTGCGCGAGCCCAATGTGTGTGTGTGTGTGTGCGTGTGTGTTGCCCCCCTCTGGCCCAACCGGTAGATCATCACATCGCCCGCGTCGTACCGAAGGGCCTCAGAGGGGCAAGCGCGCGCTGGCGCCAGCACGCGCTCCGAGGA